AGATTGAAAGAATCTAACAAAATGATTCCTAGAAAATGTCTGAACCAAACAAGGAATAAGAATTATATACACTCTGGGGTGTGTGTGTGTGTGTGTGTGTGTGTGCGTGTGTGTGTGTAAGATTCTAAGCCTCCAATTTCTGTAGTCCAGGGTTTTATAGCTGAGGTACTGTTGACATTTTGAGCCAGATAATTTTTCGCTGGGGACGGAGGGCTGTCCTGTGCATTGTAGGGTGTTTAGCTGCATCCTGGCCTCTACTCACTAGATGCCAGTAGCACACCATCTTCTCACCCACATCATGACAATCAAAAGTGTTCCCCAACATTGTCAACTGCCCCTCAGAAGCAAAATTACCCTTGGCTGAGAATCACTGCATGTTTAAATTTTCTTAGATTTATCTAAAACCATAAACTGAATTCAGTCATTTTCTTTCAAATGACTAAAGGCAATGAAAGATGGTGCTGTAATTGCATTGTTCTGTATCATTTAAGTCAAATGGCATTGTTGGTTAAAGACTAATGCCAAAGAGTATAATTTTAAGAGTATAGACCCAATTCCTGGCTGTACCTATTAGTTCCATTTTTGTTCAGTCACAGACTTCCCCTTTCACTACCTATGTTGAAAAAAATGTATTATTTTTCACAAGGAGACTAGGACAAAGTGAATAAACGCATCGGTACAAATCAGTCATTCATACAGATCAAAAACAGTGTATTTATTAAAGATGGTCATTTACTGCATCTTTCTGTTAATACAGTTCCTCATGTATCTTTTTACATTACACATGTTTACATTACATGTGTACTCTTTGAAATTCATTTGAAGAATGTAATAATTTATATTTGATATATATGTTTGATAATGTATAATTTGATAATAAGAATGCCTTCTATTTAATTTCTTTCAAAAGCAGATAACCCTTGAAATAGTTACATTTTCCTCCCCCTTCTTTCACAAGCAAAAACGAGGTAGAGGTAATTAGTATAATCATATGTCACAAATGTTCTCATTCACCAAAGGAAAGAAATTATTTACTAGTTCAAAGTTGTTGAGATTAGCTGTCCTTGGACTAAAATAATATTTGTGTATGCTGTCTACCAAATACAGTTGCCCGTATGCTTCCACTTCAAAATCTTAAAATTCTTATTAATGATTTGTTCTGCTAATCTTTAATGATGAACATCATTAGTCAGATGTTATCCCGAACTCATTTTGCATCTTGGATATTAATGTGTATGTATTTGTCTTTCCATTACTTCTGTGGCAAAAGCATGTTTACCATACTATAAATCTTATCAGTCTTTGAACAAAAGTTACTTAAAACCCTGAAACTGTGTTATTTTGTGATTTTGAGTTGCCACTGTACCTGGGTAGTATCTGTTATTTATTTGCTTGTCTCCTGAGGGTACTGGTAATGCTTAATGATTTACATCCCAGGGTTTCCTTAACCAAAACAATTTTGTAAGGAGACTAAAGGGTTTGTTTTTCAAATGAATGGTTATACTAACTAGAAATCATGGCTCTGCTTTACTGGGCTTAAAACAAAGTATCTCGCATCACTCTAACATCTGGATTTCATTTATTGCTAAGGCAGAATAAAATTGGTTTGAAAAGAGTGAAGTGAAATCAGTTTTAATGATAATGATCATTATTTGATTTTTTCTTTAGACTGAAAATTTCCCTCCAAGTCAGGTTCTGTCATGTTTAACTTTGAGTGTGTACCTCATAGGAATAAAAGTTAGAGCAACCCAATCTATTCCTCTTCTACCTCTGACTTAAAAAACTACTTACCTAATGAAAAATGGAGTAAGAGACATAATCTTCCTTGATATTTTGGTGCAATGGCTCTGTTGGATTTCATATATATATATATATATATATATATATATATACACACTTGTATACACATGGAATGTGTATATACACAAGTATATATATATATACTGGCTTTAATTGCCTGCACTTGTTAAAACATTTTATTCCACCAAAAATATAATACACTTGGTCTAGATTTTACAGCTTTTCAAACTGATTATCTAAATTCGGGTGATTCTTTAATTTTTAAAATGCATTTACAAATGGGATACATCAGAAACAATGTGTCTGAAGTATCTCACGTGTGCATTAAATTTTCCTATAGTGACAACATAACATTACATTTTAAAATTGTCAACCTGTGCAAATCTTCATGCCTGTTTATGTATGCCTTTCAAAAAACTTTTCTTACATTTTGTTGAAATTCTATAGCTATCTGGCAGAACAGCTGTCTTGCTCAAACATTACTTCAATGTTTTGATTTTTAAAAAACCTACCTCTTTGTTTTTGTTTGTTTTTTTTTTTTTGCGGTACGCGGGCCTCTCACTGCTGTGGCCTCTCCCGTTGCGGAGCACAGGCTCCGGACGCGCAGGCTCAGCGGCCATAGGCTCACTGGGCCCAGCCGCTCCTCGGCATGTGGGATCTTCCCGGACCGGGGCACGAACCCGTTTCCCCTGCGTCGGCAGGCGGACTCTCAACCACTGCACCACCAAAGAAGCCCAAAAAACCTACCTCTTAATTAAAGATGTAAAGAAAGATTTTTTTCAAAGACATTTAGAAGAAGTGTTTCACATATGGTAGCTCTATTCCCAATAATCCTAAACGTTACTACTATCAGCACTAAAAAGGAAGAAAAAGATAGTAATGGGAAGAATAGAAATATGAAAAGAGAACTGGAAGTTATACTTTAAATGATAGACAAACTTCTCCTGGCAGTTGAAGCTCTTGGAGGCTGGCATAATTACCCAAGTTGGAAAGATGGAAAGTGGAAGGAAATGCTACCCCTAGGGATACTTAAGGCCAGATTTGCCAAAGTGCTGGAAAACAAAACGCAGGAAAATCCCCTGAATATGTCGTCAGGGCAATGGCCTAAGTACCTCCAGATAACTTTCCCTGTTCACCATTGATGGGGTAAGAAGGCTCTGAGTCTGGTTTGCTCTCTCACTGATTCCAGTGTGACCTCAGGCAATTTGCTTCACCTGGCTGCCTCTTTCCCCTCTCCTCAGAGAATTTAGAAAATGATACTTGGTGGGACTTAATGTTTATAACCACTTCAAGATTTCAAAGAGAAAGTTATCAGAGATGGACAAAGTATAGTTCCTTGTCACTCTACATGATGGTAAATGAAAGTTGAAATCTGGAAATAAAGTCCAAACCAGGTTTAATATGTTAGTTTAAGTTTGCATTTACTGTGTTTCCATTTAATTCAATTTGATTCTATGCAATTTCATTCCATGTGTATTTATTAAGGAGCGACGATTACCTTTGGAAAACTCAAAATCCAGGGCCTGCAGAAATTGGTTCACTGGCCATCTTGGAAGGCAAAGGGGTTCCTCTACTTGAAGGACAGAAAAAGAATCTCCCAAATCCCTATGTGGTTCAGCAATTCTATTATATCCAGAGGTGAAGCTCAGTGGGAAAACTGGGAGACAGTACAGTCAGCCCATCGGCAAATATTTTTGAGCTCCTAGTTGGTTGCAGAGGCTGTTCTAGATGCTGGGGAATTCAGACTGAAATTCAGTCCCTGGATGAAACTATGGATGAAACCATGCTCTCTCAGGGCCTTATTTCACAGTTCTGGTAAAGGATATGATCCTATTTCTACTACTGTACTTCATGCTAAGAGAGTGAATGGGAAAGCATCCTGAGCCGAAAATGGATAGACCACTACTAATAACAATAACAACAAATATACAGCGAGAGCCTCCTGTGTTCCAGCACGGAGTTAAGCATCAATATACATCACAGTTCTTCAAAACAGCCTTTTCTTTTCCAAATACGAGGAACCTGAGGCTTAGAGAGCCATGGTAACCAGCTAGTGGGTGGCACAAGTGCGACACAAACCCAGGCCTGTCTTGATTCCAAAGAGTTATAAGGAGTAATGAAATCTGGTCAGCTGAACGTCTGCTCTCGTACTCAGTGGTGGCCCTTTTATTCTCTCTTTGCTCAGTTGTTGCTGCCTGTTCTGCAAATAATTAGCAATTTTGTACGAAATTCCTCACTTTTGTGGGAAGTCCATTGCACTGACCTACAATGAAAAGCTATTTCCTTCCAAAGACTCTGAGCTAAGCCATCTGCGTTGCCATCCAGAAAGGAACATCTTAGAGAGCAAAGGGAGGGGTTACAGGAAAGATTTATTAAGCAGTTACTATGTGCCAGGCACTTGTTTAAAATTTGTTTGAAAAACAAGTGTTTAAAAACATTTCATTTTGGGACTTCCCTGGTGGTCCAGTGGTTAAGGCTCCATGCTTCCACTGCAGGGAGCATAAGTTCGATCCCTGGGAACTAAGGTCTTGCATGCCATGTGGCATGGAAAAAAAAAAAAAATCTCATTTATTTCTCAGAGAAACTTCAAAAGAGGAGAATATCAAGGTTCAGAAAAGATAAACCATGCACCCAAGGCTGTGTAGAAAACAGTGGCAGAGCTGGGGTTTGAATTCACATTAAGCTCCTGCCTCTCCCCCGACCTGTGCTGCGTCTAAAAAAAGTATACTTACAGTATCTTGCTTGGTCAAATATTCTTATGATTTAAATAAATCAGTGAGGGACTTCCCTGGTGGCGCAGTGGTTAAGAATCCGCCTGCCAACGGAGGGGACACGTGTTCAAGCCCTGGTCCGGGAAGATCCCACATGCTGCGGAGCAACTAAGCCCGTGCACCACAACTACTGAAGCCCGCGCGCCTAGAGCCCATGCTCCACAACAGGAGAAGACACCTCAATGAGAAGCCCATGCACCGCAATGAAGAGTAGCCCCAACTAGAGAAAGCCCACGTGCAGCAACGAAGACCCAACACAGCCAAAATAAACAAATAAATAAATAAACAAACAGTGAAAACCACCACTACTGCAACAGCACAGAATAGATCTCTGCTCAAATATCACCTCCTCAAGACAAAAAGCTTCCCCTGAAGTAGCCAACCTCCCTACCCTACCCCTACAGCTTTATTTTTTTTCGTTGCACTTACCACCTTCTGACGAAGCCCAGGGTTATTTGTCTTTATCGTCTGTCCTTCTTACTGGAATATGAGTGTCTAGAGGGTATGCATCTCATCTGACTTGTTAATTTCCATATCCATCATGCCTAGAACAGTGCCATCATGCCTAGAAATAAATAATAAACATTTATTAAATAAATGCATGAAAGCAGGTTTTTAAAGGCAGGGTAGATAGCAAACCTGCAACAGGTTGAAAGCACAATGTGGTTTAGTCTCGAAAAGATCACCTTGGTGCAACAAATGCAGTGATTTGAATTAAATTTCTTTTTTCGTAGGTTAAAAGTGATTCCCAACTTAAGAAATCACTACTCGTTATCTAAAATTTGGCTCAATATAAGGCTTCACTCAAGAACCCCATCAGCATTATTTATTTTATTAGGCATTTTTAATAGTACTTTATAGACATTTTGTCATTGTAAATGGAAATGTATTTACTTTAAATATTATTACCTTCCAGAAGCCTAAGGGCAAAGCAGACATTTTAATTTATCTTGCAAAGCTATGAAGTTAGAGAGAGGGTGGAAAGATTGATGAAAAATGAAAAGATCGGGCTTCCCTGGTGGCGCAGTTGTTGAGAGTCCGCCTGTGGATGCAGGGGACACGGGTTCGTGCCCCAGTCTGGGAGGATCCCACATGCCGTGGAGCGGCTGGTCCCGTGAGCCATGGCCACTGGGCCTGCCTGTCCGGAGCCTGTGCTCCACAACGGGAGAGGCCACAGAAGTAAGGGGCCCACGTACCGCCAAAAAAAAAAGAAAAGATCAGAAGAGAGACAACTAAATTACAAAAATAAAAATGTGTTAGTTTTATCTATGAATGCCCCCCCACAAATTACCTGATAACTACTACAGACATCTCAAAATCCAGATAAATAACAATATTTTTATTAACTGTTTGATACACCTGTTTTTCCCTACATTATTCAGTTGAGTTCTCTTTGATTTCCTCAAAGACAAAGTTATATGACAATAACTTTGTAATTTTTTTTCCATTAACCTCTAGCATAATTAATTAATACTAGTTTTTATTATTGATAATTGGCTTGCACACCACATGGTTTATTATTGATAATTGACTTGCACTGTAACATGGTTGCAGGTTTGTGCCCAGAAACATAGGTATTCTGATAAATTCTACTTTTCATGGTAGCCAAAAAAAGCATGGTGCATTTATAATTATATGTGCTGCATCATCTAGCATGTTCCTGAAAGGGGAAAGCTTCACATTTGACTAGGCATTAATAAGAAACTAATTCTTCACTGGCAATTTTTATATTTAGCTACTGAAAAAGTTTCCACAGACTAATTTGTGGTGCTGTACATGTCAACCTATGTTTCTCCTTTACTACCAAATACAGTGTCAGCACCCTAAAATGGGTTGGTGTTATGGTAAGACCTCTGACCCTGCCCTTCAGTGTTTCCACACCAGGCATATCGGCACTACACATGGGGGGAGTGTGCCTGGGAGCTGTTCATTCCTATGCTGGCGCAGCTGGCAATAACTTAACATGAATGTGACTGAGAACCACATAAACATATTCCACCAAAACCAAGCTGAACCAATCCCCAACTCATCTTCCCTTGAGCTGGATTTCAATAATGCTCCACCACCACTTGGAGGGGAAGTCGGAGTGAAAAAAGACAACAATCTTAACCAAATTCAGTTCAAGTAATTTACTTTGGCAAATTTTACAAAGGCATGTCAACATGTGAACACATTGCTGGTCTTCCTTCCAGGGCCTTGGAAGGGAGGGTCCTGAGCTTCTGCTTCATTAACTTCATGACAGATTCTCCTGTAATGGGTTCACATGCACTACACTTGCTAACCTCCCTCTCTTTCTTTGCACTGACAAGGCACAGTTTTGCTCTCCCTCCCACTCTTCCTGTCTTTCAAATAACTGTCTCCTTATCGTTCGTGTCTCAGCTCAGAGAAGCTTTTTCTGATCTCCTATGTGTATCATTCCCCTCACTCTGTCATGTTACCCTGTTCCTCTCTCTTTTTAGCTCTCATTCCTCTCTGAAGCTATTCTGTTTACTTATTTACTGTCTGGCTTCTCCAGTAAAATATGGGCTCCGAGAGAGCAGGAATTTCGCCTGGAATGCTTACAGCTACACAACCTGAACCTAGAATGAGCATCTGGCACTCATTCATTCAAATGACTTTTGAATGAATGAATGAACTATATGCTTAAAAGCACATAAATTAGCTTAAGAATATAATTAGCTCAAGAATATAATTTTACCATTTTAATCAAGTTACTCCAACTCTAGTCCCCCATTTCACTGTGCTGGCTGAAAGCCAATCTCAGGTATGGTTAGGGCTCCTTCCTCCCTGGGGTTTGCAAAGGTGTTAGAATTCAACAGAGGAGCAGGTCATCAGTCATTGCCCTTACTGGTCACTGAACTGTCCATGGTCTTGGCCAGCAGTCAGGTCCTAACTGCAGCTTCTGTGACATGCATGTGGCTGAGGAAGGTTGACAGGGATTGGGGGAGCCCTGCTTTTGGTGTTTGGCCTCCCTCTAAAGACCCTGCAGCCCTTTCCCCCGAGGCCTTGCCATTCTTTCCCTGACAGCAGCATGGTGGTCTACCGACCACTAGTCCCTCCTAGTCAGAACTAAGCCCCTCCCTTGCTTTTCTCAAAGGCATTGCTCTGGGACATCTTGCAAAATCATTTCATGGTGTTTAGACCTTATGAAACTGAGAATCACGGTTACCACCCTCTGTTTCTGCTCAGAAAAATCCTTGAGTTAAGGAAATTGTAAGGGTCTGACTACTTTCTTGGAATAGGAAGAAAGTGGGAAATCTGAAGAACAAACAAAATTATCAAAATCTCAAAAGTGATCCTGTCACCTCCATTTTATATATTCTTGTATATTGGAAAGGAAACTAACCGGCAGTTTGGCTGACTGTATGCTGTGGCTCTCTGTTATGGGCTAAATTTTATCCCCCCAAATTCATGCATTGGAGTCCTACACACCAGTATCTCAGAATGTGACTATATTTGGAGATAGGGGCTTTACAGGTAATTCGGCCTAATGAGGTCATTGGGGTGGTCTTCATCCAATGCTTGGCATCCTTATAAGAAGGGGAGATTAAGATACAGACAGGTACAGAGAGAAGGCCATGTAAAGACACTTGGAGAAGACAGCCATCTACAAGTCAAGGGGACAGGCCTCAGAAGGCTCTGCTGACACCTTGATCTCAGACTTCTAGCCTCCAAAGTTGTGGGAAAATAAATTTCTGTTCTTGAAGCCATCGAGTCTGTGGTACCTTGTAATGGAGGCCTAGCAAACTGATATACTCCCTGATGCTGCAAGGTTGGGCAAGGCAGCCACTCTGGGTTCTGTGTAAAAGTAGAAGTTGTTAGTGTGCATTCTTTAGCTCTGCAAGCCTCCGTGATGGAACTTTAAATCACCAGCAGTAGCAACAGTGCTGGTTTCTCCCCAAACCACATTCAGCCTCAAAGCAAGAGCGGGCACGTAGATGCACAGGGAAAATGCTTTCAGCAGGGCCTGGGGGTGTCTTCTTTCACATGGTTCCTTATCGCCTTCACTGGAATGCCGCAGAGCCCAACACCACCTGCTCGCATGGCATTTCACTCATGTGCATTCCAGGAAACAACACAAATACTCGAGTGGCAGCAGGCTCTAGCGGGGTCAGCAGGTGATGAATTAGTGATTCTCCAATAGTCAGAGCTGCATAACTGCTAAATATGAGTTCACAAATATTCATCCATCATATCGATTACCTGTATATTTACTTTTTAACACAGAATGAAGCTCTGATATCTGTAACTAATTCCAACCAGCATGTTGCCTCTTGCTGTCTTTGTCTGGGATATTCATTTCTTCTCGTATACACAATCTTATGTCTATAGTTGTCAGTCATTTTTTGCAGGGAGAAAAATAAGACGATAAAAAAAATGCATTGTTTCAAAGCTCCAAATTTTAACACTGATTTTGGAGGGTATAATTTAGTGATAGTTCCAAATTATGATTGTACCTATGGAAAAATGGTTTTGTTTGTTTAAAAATATAAAAGCTATCAGGAAAATCTCATCTTTGATAATTCTTTGACATTACCTTATATTTTTCCTTAAATTATCTTTACTTTTTCTGATGTTTCAGATAACCCAGTACTATCTGAAATGCAAAAAAATGAAATATTTATTAGCAAAAACATAAAGTAGCAAAATGATATAGTCAGCAGACATCATGAGTCATAGCATTGTATTTCATTCCTTGACATTAGAGACAAATGCCCTCCAGTGTTTTGGAAAAATCTAAAACTATTTTTTCTAATATGTTGATTTAACTCCCTCTTCATTATCCTAAAGTACACACACACATGAACACACAGGCACATACATACATACACACCACTTTTATAAAGTATGCTTTTTGAAAATGAAACTTTTAATATGTATTTATCCTACAAGGACTTTAATCCATGTGGTTTCATTTGGTGATTCACTCAAATTTAACTCACATAAATATATTAGCTAATGTTGCAAGAGGCCTGCTACATTTTTTTAAAGTCCTTTTAATAAGCACCAAGTTTTGGTGTCCCAAAAGGAAAGAAAACTTAAGCTTGGTTTAAATACTGAAATCATGGTGCATTTTTTTCAGTTTTGGTCATTCTAAATTTCACATAATTTTACAATAATGTTGTGAGATAATAAAAAATATATATTAGTCTTTGCTTCCAGTTCCTGACACAGAGCTCCTAAAACGCTTGTAATTTCCTGGGTGATAGGAGTGCCTTTGTTCTAATGAGGTGACTCTGGGTGAGCTCCTGGATGGCTCCTGAGTGAGGGTTGGTCACCAGAAAGACCAAGCCATGATTAGAAGCTTGGAATTCTCAGCCACACCTCACATTCTCTTGAGAAGGGAGAAGAGCTGAAAATGGAGTTAATGATTGATCATGTCTATGTGATGAAACCTCCATAAAATTCCAAAAGGATGGGGCTCGGAGAGCTTCTGGGTTGGTGAACACATAGAGGTGCTGGGAGAGTGGTGCCCTTGGACAGGCCGTGAGAGCGTCATACCCCTTCCCACACACCTTCTCTTCCCTACCCATCTCTTCCCTCTGAATGTTCATCTGTATTCTTTATCATATCCTTTAATAAACTGGTAAATGTAAGTAAGCACTTTCCTGAGTTCTGTGAGCTGCTCTGGCAAATTAATCCACCCAAGGAGGGGAGTCTTTGGAACCTCTGATCTATAGTCAGTTGGTCAAAAGCACAAGTGATACCCTAGGATTGCAGCTGGTGTCTGCAGGGTGTGTGAGTGGGGGTGGGAGGCAGTGTGGGACTGGGCCCTTATCTCCCGGTAGATAGTGTCAGGATTTAGTTGAATTCTTGGACACCCTGCTGGCATCCTGAGATTTGCTTGGTGGTGCTGTGGGGTGGTCCCCCTCCCCACAGACCCACATTGGAATTGTGATCAGGAACCAAAAGAAATGTTTCTTCTTTTTGCTGTGATGCTTTATTTTTCTCCAAAAATTAATATATTACTATGTTATTCATACTGAAGAGTAACATCTAGGTTTTTTAATAATTAGAAAGAGCCCATAGACATTAGCTCAAAATGGAAAGTAATGATATTTTTGAGTGAAAAGCTGAATTAGAAAAATAAAAAAGAGGCACGAGCTAGGCATGGGTGGCCAATGTGAAATTATTGCAGAATAAGTAATTCCTAATGGAATATTTTTGCTTCATAATATGCCTTGACAGTTCATGTTAGGCTCAGAAATCTTAATGTGGTGTCAAAATTGGGAAAGATAGTATAAATCTTATTAGCTGAATGAAAAATGAAATGAATGAACGAATGAATGAATGGTAGTGTAAAACAGAGCATCTGATATAGTGTTAAATCATTTAAATGGCACAGAAGTAGAGTTAGTCTAAGAAGATCATTTTCAAAACCACTTAAGTCACAGTTTTTTCCCTTAAGAAAATATTTATTTTTCTCTCGACGTGATTCTTAAATCCCAAATAAAATAAAGAGCAGCCTTATGTGCTTTTTGACCAGGGCTCTGGTTCCATTTCTCTACTAGTGTCTAAGTTTCACCCCACTGGGTCTGGGATTTAATTGCATCCTCTTTGCAAGCTACTAAGTTACCCTGTTACTGTTTCATGGATGCTGAAAGCAGATGTGAGACTCTTGGGTAGAGACAAAGAGCTTTATTACTCAGGGTGCAGCAAGCAGCATGAACATCAGCGTGTTTACACTGGTTACCCTTGCCTCAGACTCCACAGGGTTGACATGATATGACCCAGATGGATGCTACACACACAGTGGGTTTGCATAACAGCTAAGGAATGCTAAAGTTAATGAGTCCATTGCTTTTATTTTGTTTTTGGCTAACAATCAGCTAACAAACTTGCTCCTTGTCCCAGGTTGAGAAATTACCACATTTCTCAATATTGCTTGATGCAAACACAACCCTGAGAAATAGCTCAGGAAAAGAAGCATTAGGATCTTGAATTCTGACACCCCTAGAAAGACATATAGGAGGCTAGACACCCATGGAGGACTCTCCCACTACCACCTTGTGGCGGTTTCATCCTTACACTGGCTTCCCCCACTGCTATCAATATCCATGGGGGGAGGATATTGCCCCTGACAGCTACCTGGAAAAGTCTTGAGCTTCCCTGTGGCTGGACCTTATACAAACTAATCACTGGAACCAGAGGAATGTCCTTGACTTAGGCCTCGGTTTGTACCCATTCCTGAACTAATCTCTGTGCTAAGGAGGAAAAATCACTCTGATTACTTAGATCATCCATGCTGCTGGGGTGGGAAGATCAATTTTACCTACTTAATAGCTACCAATGGGGTTTCCCTGGTGGCACAGTGGTTAAGAATCTGCCTGCCAATGCAAGGGACACGGGTTCAAGTCCTGGTCCAGGAAGATCCCACATGCCGCGGAACAACTAAGCCCGTGCGCCACAACTACTGAGCCTGCGCTCTAGAGCCTGCGAGCCACAACTACTGAAGCCCGCGCGCCTAGAGCCCATGCTCCGCAACAAGAAAAGTCACTGCAATGAGAAGCCTGTGCACCACAACCAAGAGTAGCCCCCGCTCACCGCAACTAGAGAAAGCCGGCGCGCAGCAACAAAGACCCAACGCAGCCAAAAATTAAAAAAAAAAAAAGCTACCAATGGGGAAGAGGCAAAATGTGAGGAGGCAACAATTACCTAACTCACATGGTCTCTAAGTTGTATAATTCAAAACTTTTGCTCTATTTCAGGTTTTTCCAAGTCAAATGAAGTGGAGAGAAAGAAAACTCTTTGGCTCTCTTTTCTATGCCTTTACTCTGGGAAATCCTATCTATTTTTTCATTGTACTCATATTAGTGGATCATCAGTTAAGGGTCAAGAACTGTATTAGGGGCTTCCCTGGTGGCGCAGTGGTTGAGAGTCTGCCTGCCAATGCAGGGGACACGGGTTCGAGCCCTGGCCTGGGAAGATCCCACATGCCGCGGAGCAACTAGGCCCGTGAGCCACAACTACCGAGCCTGCGCATCTGGAGACTGTGCTCCGCAACAAGAGAGGCCACGATAGTGAGAGGCCCGCACACCACGATGAAGAGTGGCCCCCGCTTGCCGCAACTAGAGAAAGCCCTAGCACAGAAACGAGGACCCAACACAGCCAAAAAAATAAATTAATTAAAAAAAAAAAAAAGAACTGTATTAGACTTGGGGATACAATTCTCAAAAAGTCAGAAATGACCCCTAAACTCACAGGCAAATAATCTAGTGAAGGATTCATTTTAAGAGACCATTAGGATGAGAGGGAAAAATACAGAGTGATGGTAGCACACAGAAGGAGCGCCTCACCTGGACATTGAGTGGGAAGGTTAGGAAAAGCTTCCTGGAGAATATGATAACTAAATCCGAAGCCAGAAGGATGAGCAGGAATTATCAGGTGAACTGTGTGTGGGCGAGGACTAGATAGCTTGGAAGAATGCCTTTGCAGATGGAAAAACAAAGCAAGTTAGAGAAACTAAATGTAGTTCTGTTTGTCTGAATCATAAAATTCAAGGTGAGAGATGAGGTGGGAGAAGTGAGGAGTGGGAGGGAGAAAATGTTATCTATGTAAAGGAGCTTTGACTTTTCTGAGAAACCTTGAAGCCTTTCAACAGAGAGAAAACAAGGTAGATACTGCATTTCAGGCATTTTACACCGGCTATTAGAGTGAAAAGTGAATTGAGGGTAGAAACGAGGCTGGGACAGAGAGATTAGTTAGGAGACTGTTGCAATCCAGCACAGAGATAGAAGTAATCATACCAGTGAAAATGGGATGAAGGGGCAAATTTGCCATCTATTTAGAAGTTGGATCCATAGGTCTTAATAAGTAATTGGAAGCATGAGATGAGCATAAGGAAAAACATAAGGCCTGGAGATAGGATAGCAATAAGAACAGATTTTTTTTTTTTTTGGTTAAAAATGGCACATTAACATTTCTGCCCCAAAGGGGGAGGCACTTTTCCTTTTTTAAAATAATAAATTATTTTATTTTATTTTTGGCTGCGTTGGGTCTTTGTTGCTGGCACGGGCTTTCTCTAGTTTCGGTGAGCGGGGGCTACTCTTCATTGCAGTGCTAGGGCTTCTCACTGCAGTGGCTTCTCTTGTTTTGGACCACGGGCTCCAGGCGCACGGGCTCCAGTAGTTGTGGTGCACAGGCCCAGCTGTTCCGTCGCACGTGGGATCCCTCTGAACCAGGGTTCGAACCCATGTCCCCTGCGTTGGCAGGTGGATTCCTAACCACTGTGCCACCAGGGAAGCCCTGAACAGATATTTTTAATTCAGACAGCAAAGGTTCAGATCCTGACTCTACACTTAGCATCCAAGCCTGAGTTAATTACCAGCAAAAGGGAGACACTGATAACTACCTAGCATGGCTGCTTTGAGGATAAATATACAAAGAAATATTATAAAATACTATATGGCAAGTTCCTAACACAGAATAAATCTCTAATAAAGTATAGCAATATATCAGTTCCTGTTTCACTGTCTGAAAGAACTGGTTGGATGGAGAAGCTATTCATTGAGTGCAGCAGTCAGGAGCGTGCTGGCTGCAAGTAACAATAAACTAGACCTACAGCAGTTTAAAGAAGTATGG